GTCCGTCGCACTCTGTTAGAAGTTTAAAACAAATGCATATTTTTCAAAATAATGCTACACCAAAAGTAATTGTATAGTAAAAAAAAAAAATATCAATACAAGCCATGAACCTTTGACAGATTGAAGGACGAGATCAAAGGAGTTGTGAGAGAAGTTCTGGAACAAATGCTGACCGATGCGATAGTCTCGTTTCGGAAGTGCCTGGATTCCTGCATTGCAGCTCAAGGGCGCCATATTATAATTGACGTTATTTTCAGAATCTTAATTTTGTTTTACTATAAAAAACTAAATACTTGTTTGCATTTTTTTATATAGTAAAATTTTTTTTGCTGCAAATATTTTTGTCTTAGCATCGTTTTGAAAAACATGCATTTATTCTGAGGAGTCTATGGCTACTGTTTGAAGCCGAAAATTAGCGGTCAGGGTGTACACTGCAGGTATACCTAGTTAATATTTTTGTGTTATACCATTTTTCAAATAAACATTTTGCTATAAAAAAAATTAGACTGTGTTTATTAAATAAATAAAATATAAGTCATATTTTAAATGAAAAAAATGTCTCATTTCTGTATTCAATGTAACTATTATTATTATTATTTTTTTTTTTTTTTTGATTCTTCAGACTCCGGAGATTTTAAGTTTTTTCGTTGTTTAATAAAGGAAATAAACATTTTTTCAAGATAAAAGTTACCTATATAAATGATTGAATAAAGGAAAACATTGTCGCGAAATAGATATTGAATTTATCGTGAAAAATACTACGTGATATTATCATTATAATGAGAAATATTGATATCGCTTATTACAATCAATGAGTTTTTCATTATCTATTGTAAAATAATGACAAAATGTAAGTCCACTTACACCAAAAAGGTAGTAGCCGATAAGTACTATAAATTATTAAAATAATCCCAATATGGCAATATAGTACCTTTTTTTTTTTTTCCTGTTTTAACCGACGACGCCACGGGATCTGCTTTCGCATTGCCTATTTGTTTATGTTTTATATATTGCACGTTTAGAATTTTCAGACGTTATAACTCTGATTTTTATTTTTATTACCATAATATGCTTAAGGCACTCAAGTATCAACAAATTTAATTTGTTTAAGCCTTAGCAAATTATATAATGGAAATGTTTTTAATTTAATTTTATAGCTTTTATATGATATAAACATGTCGATTATTTGTTTTTAATTTAATTACAAATTATTGCATTTATACAGTATAATATATAGAATATAGAATATATCCTTATCAAATGCGTAGATATTAAATAATAGAATTATTTTTCGTTCAAGTGAAATATAGTGTATTACAATAATTATGGTCTACCTAAGTCTAAAACATCAATTACTACTACACAGAAGTTAATGTACCTATTACAGTCATCTAATTTTATGATTTTCCTTGTACTAAATATTGATATAAATTATAATTTTAAGTCAAAATTTAAGTATTAATAATAATTCATTTATATTTATAAACATCAGTGTCTAGAAAAATTTGTTTTATGAGTTTAAGGAATAAAAAATATTCAACGTTACAAATAATAACTTTTTATTGAATTCGATTAAATATTACAAATTGCGATACATCTTATATGTTAACAAAATATAATTATACATTTTTTTTTGCCATTTCGTATGATGACAAAAAGATATTTAAAGTACTTAATACTTATTTATATAATTATTATGTGAAATGTTTCATAATTACTTACATCTATAATATTAAACAATAATCTGACTTTTGATTAATAAACAAAAACATTTATACATTTTTTTTCAATTTATAACCCTTCTAAATTATTCTTATTATATTAACAAAATCAATCAATAATGTTATTATTATTTAGTATATTTTAGGTAACAGTGTGGATATGTTAATATTGAAGGACCTAAAGGTGAGGGCAGAATAAAATTATCCCATTAAGGCACTGAAGGTATAAAGAATACCTTATTGCAGTTGGCCTCCGGTTTTTACGTAACTGTAGTGTATTATGTAATACCGTAGGAATTTTAATTAATTGTTTAATTGTCCATTTTTAAAAAAACAAATGTAAATATCATTTACGAACAAATATAGCAAAATATTATGCTAATTGTATCGAATGCATTGTAATTTTTGTAATATTATAACAGTGAAAAATCAAATGATTATTGGTTATCTTCAAAGGTTTGACAGTCACACGAAATATAATTTAACTCTGTATATTAAACATTACAAAACAGAGAAAACATAAAATTATTCACTTGGAAATCGGAAATGAATAATACGTTCATGTTATTATGAATCGATTGTCAACAATGTCTTCGAATTGTATTGTAATATTTTAGTTTTAAAGCCAACAGTTAAATTTTCAATGCAAATATATGGAATTTATTAGTATGGTTTTAAAATGTGTATGCATTTAAAATTTTCTTAATTGCATACGGAGATTCACGGCGGTTGATATGAAACGATGGTAGGTACCTAATTATATATATATATATATATATATATAGATCTATTAATAAAGTATGTAGGTATTTTTATACAAGTATAATACAGGTACGTGTGGTGAGTATATAAAATGGTGCAACGTGGTTGAAGCCTGTAAGGAGAAAATTATTTCATATCTTACTTACGACAAAAATAAAAATAAAAATAACAATAATTTATTATGATAGTTCATTATTCACATATTAATCTAGTATAATTCCAAACGATACATTTTAAACAATTTTTTTTTACAAGCATATTAATAATATTTTAATTTTGACAAAAAAAAAAAAAATATCCAAATTATACCCTTGTTAATATATATATACATATATATATATATATATATAAGTGAGTGTATATTATAAATATATAATATCATTATTAACATAATAGTATGTCATAACATTGTATTTTACAAAAAGTTTTTTAAATTTATTCGTTCGATCATACGCATTGATACGATATACATATTATTAAATATTACATAATATTATACCTACGGTGTATTATACGTGATTATTATGCATGCAACGAATCCCATTATTTTTAAAAACGTAGTTAAGTAGAGTAAATAATTTACAACTATTTACTTGTAAAATACGCCAGATTTTATTGTGCGTTATGTACAAATCAATGGGACAGTGTGGTGCAATGGTCACTTCGCTGACCATGACGCGCGTAGTCGCGTAGTTATTGGTTCAAACTTCGGTACAGTGCAAAAAATATTACTTCGTATTCCCCCGCCGTCGTGGCGTTTGCTCTACCCTGCCACGCCGGTTCCACTCCACTGGGAGTGACGACCACACACGTGGAATTTCTCTTTTTAGAGAAGAGGGTAGTAGTACATTAGTAAGCTAGACACACTCCACCCTTTCCATTCGATAAGACATTGACTAAGGCTGATAAAGTATTTTCAATGAAAATTAATAATGAAAAACAAAATAAATGAATACATTGAATTAATGTTATAATATATAAACTTATCTTATGTAATAACAACAGTTCTTAACGGTTATTTATTATTAGTGATTGTATTTTTAGCGTGTTTGAGATGAAATAATTATAGTACTGTACAGTATTGGTCCTCCCGAGATAGTATTTTATTTTTCAAAAACAAATATTTTTACGAAATATTATTGATCAGGTATTTGAAATACTGCAATGGGCTGTATAGGCCTTTTGAAAAATAATTATTATAGCAAATTGAATTTATGTTTCTAAACGGCGGAACTTAAATGTTTTGGTTTCTCGTACTCTTTACGAGAGAAACATTATATATATATATATATACATAATGTAGATATACGCGAATAAGAGAAAAATTATAAAAACCGAAAATCAGACTTTTGATAATGCACGTCTTATATCTATCTAATTATGATGCATTTATTAAAATTTGGGTCAAAATCATATTTAACGGCTTACGAATAGTTTTTCGCAGGTCACGCTGACCATATAATTACATCAATTTAAAAAATAATTGTTAAATTTATAGTGTAATACAAAACAATTTACTTTATTGACACGTACTGTATATATGTATACCGATACGGAGGTTTATTCAGAAAACCTCAGAACTTAGAAGAACTGAAATCGGAGAACTGTTATACTTAGCAAGTATAGCGATCTAAAGGACTTTAGTTACTAGTTTTTATAAAATATCGCTGGAAAAATCTGGACGCATTATCTAAGAAGACCGTACCAAGAAATTTTTTTCAGGAGGGGGGTCCAAAACCTGTATAATGTATATTCTACATTTATTGAATTTAGATTATGACATTTGGTTAAAAATAAGACAAAAAAAATTTAATCGTATTTTATTAAAATATATGATCAAATAAACAAAATTACTTTGTCACTTAACATTATATTTAATAAAACAATTCGACGTATTTGTCATTGTCTGACCCTGACGGTATATTAATATTAATATTATTGTTAATCGTCATTCGTCACCGACCGTCGAGGAGTCGACCGGCATCGATAGCGGTCGTTGTCGATCAAAAAAATCTATTATTAGATACTATAGGTAATAACACTAATAAGTAATAACTAATAATATTTTCATACGATACAATGATACAAAACAGTCACAAGTAATTTTAATTAACTGGAGTTTCATCCGTCTATCCGTTTATGACTGAACGTCTGAACATATTTATGTTGGTATTAAAAATAAATAGTTGTTTTAAACATATTTTGAAAGCTATTTAAGAAATTTCGGGTGGTAGTGAGGTCCGGACCCCTTGGACCCCCCTCAGATACGGAGATACGGCCTCACGCATTATTGTATGATACTAAGGGTAGAGAAACGCTGCAGCAGTAATAATGATGTACGTACAACTCAACAATAATAATAAAAACAATAAACGTCGATATTTTAAACAAAAAATTCTCAAAAAAACTCGGTTATCGTCTCCGTCGTCGCATGGTTCGCACGTGTATGTATGTGTGTGTGTGTGTGTGTGTGTGTGTGTGTGTGTGTGTGTGTGTGT